TATATATATATATATATATATATATATGCGCATATATCCACTAATGAATGGAAAAACGCGTCTGCGTCATTGCAGGGGGTGGCGTGATAGCACTACAGAAATGCAATGAACGGCCGGTCAGTACAATGGAACAAATGGCATGGAGAGCCCAGCTCGGATCCTCACCTCTGCATGCTCGTCGTTGGTCGGGCTCGAGTCGCCGGCTGTGTGATGGTAATTATCGAAGGTGCTGCCGGTTTCCGTCGTTGTCGTTGCCGTCGCCGTTGGTGTTGTTGTTGCTCCGGGGCCAGTGCTTGTCGTCACGATAGTTGCCGTTGCCGTCGGAGAGGGACGGCCCTGCGCCATGCAAGAGCCATGGTCGGGCAGGTCGGTGGCGCAGGATGTCATGGTTGATAATTACCTATAAAAGCTTGTCGCACTGCAATTCAAATTGCAATCATTCTCAATGCTAAAACAGTATGCAGGAGAATGCATATGCCGTCACCATGCTGATTTCTATTTGCAATTCTAAGCCACTAAGGTATCGTTCTACATACATATGGATGCAGAGAAATTTTAACATTTAATTTACAATCGCCGTCGTCAAATACATTCCGGTTCTGATTTTGCTGATGCGGGATCAATCTAATTCTTGTCAATTTACATGCAGAGGGGAACCCTCAGAATGTCGTATATATATGAGCCCGCGCCGTAACGTACAATCCGTCATATAAGCGAACGTACATACAGTAATGATCAGCCGCTCTTCTGCGTTATGATTCAATTGGTTGTATTGGTTGTGTAACTCAAGCTGGATGCTGCTGGAATGTCAATGAAATCTTGCGAGCGCCAAAAACGCGTCGGCACGTGATCAACGCGGTTTTAGTGCTGAACGCGTCGCGGACTCACGACGAGTTCAACTCGCCTCTCAGCCACACTCGCGACCTTTCTAGCTCCCTTGCCACCTCAGGCACAGGCGCATCTTCCTTGCCGCTTCTGACGATGAGTTCCTCAGAGGAGAACTTTAACCTTGACGCCATCTCGGGTTCAGGCTCAGATTCGGAGGGCTACGCGCCCGCACCCAAGAAATCTCTCAAGACCGCGCCAAAGGCGAAGCCCGCGTCGAAAGCAGCGAAACTGAGTACAAAGCCGAAAGCTGTTCCAAGGAAGAAGGTTTTGGTGGATAAGAACGATAATGCAGACTCTGATACTGAAATGAGAAACTCTGACGACGACGCTGGACCTAGTGCTCCAGCCCCCGCTGCGCCTGCAAAGAAGAAGACTGCTTCGGAGACGTACACAAAGGTTGTACATGACACATCCAAATGTGAACTTAAATGCTCATAGTCTATCCAGCTTTCCCAGCTGGAGCATATTCTGAAGCGACCTGATTCCTACATAGGAAGCGTGGAAACCATTACTCAACCTATGTGGGCGTGGGATTCAGATAGAAAGCTCATGGTGTACAAAGAAATCAAGTACGTTCCCGGATTTTTTAAAATTGTAGATGAGATCCTTGTCAATGCGGCCGACAATAAGGTAGGTATCCTGAGCATTCTGCTTCGACGCATATATTCACTACTAGTCACTTAGATCAACGACCCTAGCATGGATACGATCAAGGTTACCATTGACCCGAGAAATAATGTCATTTCAGTTTATAACAGTGGACGTGGTATTCCCATCGAGATGCACTCCAAGGAGAAGATCTACATCCCGGAACTCATCTTCGGGCATTTGTTATCTTCTTCCAATTATGACGACGACGAGAAGAAGCTGACAGGAGGTCGCAACGGATACGGTGCCAAACTCGCGAACATCTACTCAGTCGAGTTCACGATCGACACTGCGGACAAGAATACGGGTCAGAAGTATGTACAGACGTGGACAGATAACATGAGCAAAATGGGGAAGGCGAAGATCACAAAGAATTCGCGTGGCGAGGAATATACTAGGGTTACGTTCAAGCCCGACTTGAAGCGTTTCGGTATGGACTCTATCGATGAGGACACTGTTGCCCTCCTCAAAAAACGTGTACACGATATTGCGGGCACTGTAAAGGACGTGAAGGTCTTCTTGAACGATGAACGATTGAAGATCAAGAATTTCAAGCAGTACGTCGAGCTCTATCTCAACTCAGCCGCAGAACAAGCGGCGGATGCGTCAGGCGGAGCAGCGCAGGCGAAGCAGACTATGATATACGAGCAGATTGGGACGCGCTGGGAAGTCGCGTTCGCCGTGTCTGAAGGGGCCTTCCAGCAGGTCTCCTTTGCCAACTCGATTTCTACGGTCAAAGGGGGTACACATGTACAGTACATCGCTGATCAGCTTGCGAAGAATCTCGTCACGTTTATCTCCAAGAAGAACAAAGCTGCGACGGTGAAGCCTCCGCAAATCAAGAATCACATGTGGATTTTTGTAAATGCCCTAATCGAAAACCCGACTTTCGATAGTCAGACGAAGGAGACACTGACCCTACCGTCGGCAAAGTTTGGCACGAAACCGTCTTTGTCTGAAGAGTTCATGAAAAAAGGTGAGTCTTTCGGAAGAACATGATCGAAATTACTCATGCGATTGCCTACAGTGCAAAAATCGGTGATCGTTGACCACATCCTGAACTGGGCAAAATTCAAAGCCGACCAGCAACTCAAGAAGACTGACGGCAGCAGACGCAATAGGTAGTCATTTTGCTCATTTGCTTCTCTCCATGAACCCATAATCCCTCTGACGGTGGAACTATAGGTTATCCGGCCTCCCGAAACTCTCGGATGCTAATAATGCCGGAACAAGAAAGGCCTCCGAATGTACTTTGATTTTGACTGAGGGTGATTCGGCGAAGACGCTGGCAGTAGCAGGGCTAAGTGTCGTCGGTCGCGATAATTATGGTGTATTTCCTTTGCGTGGCAAGCTGCTGAACGTCCGAGACGCGAAGCACGATCAAATCATGAAGAATGAGGAGATCCAGAATATCAAGAAGATTCTCGGGCTGCAGCATAACAAGGACTACAAGGACGTGAGCGGTTTACGGTACGGACAACTCATGATAATGACGGACCAGGTAGGTGAAATCGCTACTTAAGGAGGACTGCTCATGCATGGCATTACAAGGATCACGACGGTTCCCATATCAAGGGCCTCCTTATCAACTACTTCGAGCACTTTTATCCTTCGCTGTTGAAGGTTCCTCACTTCCTTGTTGAGTTCGTCACGCCAATTATCAGGGTAGGTATATGCAATAGAGCCCTGCTATGTCACTAATCTCGTGACTAGGCCACGAAAGGCACCCAGCTGATCGAATTCTATACCATACCGGAGTATGAACAGTGGCTAGAAGAAACTCCGAATTCTGCTAGCTGGAGGGCAAAGTACTTGAAGGTCAGTGTCTATCTTGATGATGCAGGCAACCTCTCATGAATCTTCAGGGTCTAGGCACGAGTAAAGACGAGGACGCACGAAGATATTTCAAGCTAATGCGCAAACACAGAATTGCTTTCAGTACCATTAAAGAGGGTGACCGGGATTCAATCGAGCTGGCGTTCAGCAAGAAGAGAGCTGACGATCGAAAGGAGTGGCTGCGGCAGTTCAAGGTAAATATTGCATGTTACGCTGTTCAAGGCTAATTTCTGAGCTATGTCGCGCAGCCTGGTACTTTCCTTGACCATACACAGGGCGAAATAGGGTTTACCGATTTCATCAACCGGGAACTCATCCTATTTTCTATGGCTGACAACATTCGTTCTATCCCGTCGGTGGCAGACGGATTGAAGCCTGTCCAAAGAAAGGTGATATGGGCATGTTTCAAGCGCAAACTCAAGGGTGAAATCAAGGTACCTTCTTTCCCATTCAAGCTGGATTGCACTCAGTGTTGAACTACCTAGGTCGCTCAACTTGTTGGCCACGTATCGGAACATGCACAATATCATCATGGAGAGCAGAGTCTGATGATGACCATCGTCAATCTCGCTCAGGACTTTGTAGGGGGAAACAATTTGAATCTTATGATGCCAAATGGTCAATTCGGCACTCGTGATCAAGGCGGCAAAGACCACGCCTCTGCCAGGTACATCTATACAGAGCTGTCACCCGCTACACGAGCCGTCTTTCATCCCGGAGACGATCCTCTCATGAAATACTTGACCGATGATGGTCATTTGATCGAACCAGAGTACTACATGCCGACTGTGCCAATGGTCTTGATCAATGGTGCCGAAGGTATCGGGACGGGTATGTGGACTCTCTGCGCACTGGGCTTGACCTCATGATTTATAGGCTGGAGCACAAATATCCCGTGTTACAATCCCGAGGATATCGTCGCGAATCTCCGTCGACTCATGGCTGGCGAAGAGCAATTGCCTATGTTACCATGGTGGCGAGGATTTAAGGGTACTATCAAGAAAACTAGCGATTACAGGTACGATGTATCAGGGATTGTGACCAAGCTCGACGATACCACGTTCGAAATCACGGAACTTCCCATCCACAAATGGACCCAGAACTATAAGGTGGAGCTTGAGGCTATGTGTGGCGAGAAGGGCGATGGTCCTGTGAAGGTGACGTCAGGTGTTCACTGTAGCTTGCGCATGCCTAAAGTTTTCGCAATAGGACTACAAGGAGTATCATAACAACATGAACGTACATTTTGTGGTTCACATGGAACCAAAAGCCGTCGAGAAGGCTGAGTCGCAGGGCTTGCTCGAGTTCTTCAGACTCACTGGCAAAATCAACACCAGTAACATGATCTGTTTTGATTTTGAAGGAAAGATCAAGAAGTATAATACTCCCGAAGAGATTATCGAAGATTTCTATCCTCAACGCCTGGCCTACTATCAGAAGCGAAAGGTACCTCGAATTTATGTTTTTTTAATGGAGTCATCTTACATGAGATGCTTCTTAGGATTTCATGGCGAACGAGCTGTCTGATGAACTAGACAAGCTCAATAACCAGATTCGGTTCATCCAAATGATCATAGATAGGGAGCTAGCTGTCTCCAATCGCAAGAAAGTGGACATCGTTGCCGATCTGCGCAAGAAAGAATTCCGACCATTTCCTAAGGTCTCAAAGGCCAAGGCCAAGGCCAGCGAAACAACTGAACTTGTGGAAGTTAACGAGGACGAGGAAGATGAGGAAGATTCCGGGCCCGCCGGTAGTGCTTCGGACTTTGACTACTTGCTCGGTATGGCGATCTGGAGTCTGACCAAAGAGAAGGTTAAATACGCCTGACTTTTCTGAGCTTCAGCCGACGTTAATTTTCCCCTAATATAGATGGAGAAATTACGTCAACAAGCAAAACAGACAGAGGGAGAGCTCTTGATCCTTCTTGAACGCACTCCGATTCAGATCTGGCAATGTGATCTTGATCGGTTCCTTGAAGAATGGCGGGTGAGTGCCGAATAATCTGGTGTACATTTTAGTCGTGACGGTAGTATAGGCAACTTGCGAACAATGGGACGCGAAGATTATCTCCGCAGATGCAAGTGGGAACAAGAAAGGGAAACGCAAACAGCCTACACTCAAGGCAGCGATGAAGAAGGCTGCTGGTGATGACGATTCTGAAGATGACTTCAAGCCGACAAAAGCTGCAGCTAAGGCCAAGAAGACTACTGAGCCTAAACCAGCACCAGCGAAAAAACTTCCTCAAGCCGATCCCTCGAGCTCCAAAGTAGATGAAGACGAACAGAAGAAACCTGTGGCGAAGAAACCTACGAAAAAACAAATCAAGGACGACCCAGACTCGGATTTCGAAGTCATCCAACAGAAGCCTGCACCCAAAAAGGCAGCTGCGAAGAAACTCGCGAAGATAGAGTCTGAATCCGAGCTCGAGATGATCGACGGACGTCTAGCATCAGCGAACAAGGGAAAAGCCCAGGACTCCGATATTGAAATGATTTCGCTCGTATTGAAGGATAGCGACAAAGGTAAAGCCCCTGCTGTGCCTAAACGCAAGAGGTAATGCCACGTTCTAACATTTGGCGATCACTCCTAACTTAATGATTGCAGTCCTGACGCTGAGAATTCCGATTCTGATTCTTTTACTGTGCCCCTGAAGAAAAGCAAACCAAGTCCTGCTCAAGCGACAGTAACAGACTTCTTTGACAAAGTGCCGACAGCAAAGAAGACTACAGTCCGGAAGCCATCGTCGAGCAAGCCTGCGCCTGCTAAGAAGACGGCGACGAAGGTCGTGGACAGCGATGATGAGGATGAGCTGATGGACGAGGATGATCCTCCACCACCACCCGCTCCGAGGAAACCTATCGCCCGAAAGCCATCATCAAGCAAATCGGCACTGGCGAAGAAGCCGGCCACGAAGAAAGTTGTGGAAAGCGACGACGACATATCGGCAGATGAGCTCGCGGCGGTCGCCCCGATAACCACTCGTAATGAAGCACCTAGACGAGCAGCTAGAGGAGGGGCAAAGAAGTATATTGAGATTCCCTCGTCATCGGAAGGTGAAGGAGGTGGCAAGGATGGTTCTGAATTTGAGGACTTTGATTGAACAGGTACCCTACTCAATGCTCACGCTTGCTCTCTCCGTTTGAGTCCTCCTGCGTCGTTGTTATATATGCCACGTTCTCTTCGAAATTTTTGTAGCTTTATTTGTATCCTGCGATTAGACTTACGAATTTCACGCCCAATTGAATGCTTGCGAGTAGGTATTTAGTACGCGCCCATGCTTACATAATTTGATGTCCTTACAAGTTCGCGTCGCTCGCGGCGCGTTCTCGTGCTACAGGACATGCTAGCAGTCCGCAGGCTACCGCGCGTGTGCGCCAGGCTCTCTGGGATTCGGGGAAATGCTTCTCTCGAATCAGTGGCGACCGCGTCATCAGATGCCATAGTTCCTCCTCCGACACTGCTCCCAACCTCAGCTCTGACTGTAGACCCGACACTACTGCCTGCATCTGAGAAGACAGAGGCATCTCGTTCAGAAGATACTGCTCAGGAAAACGGAAGGAAGCCTCGGCGGGAATGGCCAACTCGTCGGCCTCCCATATCTTTACAGCGTCCCCGGGAATGGAACAGGCCGATCGCGAAGGGCGTCTTGCCAACGTATGACTTCGCGCTTGAGTATATAAGGGAAGATTCCAAGGCTTTGAGAGAGGAGCTGAAGGAAGTCAAAGCTGCCCTCGCGATAGCTCGTTCTGGGAGCGAGAGCGACGAACAGTCCTTGGCACAACTAGAGGAGAAAGCTAAGATATTGGAAATTCAGAGCGAAATAAATCTACCAAATGTGCGATGGAAGGCATGGAATGGCATGGGTGAGTTTTCTTTTGTCCATGAACAGTCCAGCAATCTGTAACCTGAGTGACGTCGGCAGCGGACATGCGAAAACTGGCCTACAGACACCTCTTGGAGCAGAGGTGGAGGGAGGATGGCCCCCTTGACTTGCTCGTATGTGATTTCCTTGCTGGTCGGTTTGTGTTAATCGTAAATTGATGAAATTTATGCAGATGGAACGTGTTCACCAAATGAACGTCGTCCCCGACCTTCTCCCGTCGCTAAATCCCACCCTTGACCTCCGTATAAATTTCCCGGAGCCACCTCCAAAGGACGTCTACTTGCGATCTCGTGTAAAGCGCCGTTACCAGAAAGTTGAACCCGGCGTATTTTTACTGCCCGAACAGGTGTGTAGCTCTTAATTAGGGTGAGCCATTCAACTAATTGAACATGTCAGACATGGAGGCAGCCCGTGTTATATACGACTGTGTTCCACACCGACACTCGTCTTTACACTCTGCTTATGCTAGACCTTGGTATGTAGATGAACTGTATACAATAGCATTTACTGACAAGTATACAGATGTGCCGGACCCTGAGAAGCAGTCGTTCCAGTCTTACCTTCATTGGTTGCAGTAAGTCTCCTAATTAGTGAAAGATAGTGAATGCTAATGGCTTTGGTTCGCATGACTCCGGTGCAGGCCGAATGTTTCTCTATCCGCCTTCTCCCCTTCCCCCATCCCATTATCTACAACCCATACAAGATATATTCCCCCGCATCCACAACGTGGTACGCCTTACCACAGATACGTCGTTCTCCTTCTTCCACAGCCTTCTACGGAGCGGATCTACGTACCGGTCCCATCTGATGCAGATAGACTGGGCTTTGACTTCCGTGAATTTGCACGGCAATACGGTCTCGATGGCAGCAAGGGTGGCGGTGCGCATATGTGGAGGGAAGTTTGGGATGAGACTGTCTCTAAGATTTACTCCGACGTTCTCAGTATGTTCCCCCACTCTTCTAGTGTGAGGTTGATTTTGACTAAGCATCCACTTCCTTGCAGAAACTGGGGAGCCCAAATTTGGGCGTGCGCCGAAGCCTGATCTTTACGCCGATGTCAAAGCTACGAAAAAGTATGTGTAGGGTTAATATCACTATCGTATTCGCCTTAGATATCTCCTATTGGTTTTCCAAAATCGCATTGTTGCTTCGTATGTGCTCGGAATGTGAGATAGCTGAACACGGCGGAGTCGTTGTGCCGATCTAATAAAAATTAAGTTGCCTGAATTACACTGACCGAGACCTCGCCCGGCGGCAACTGCACGCCATGGGTGCATGACGAACAGGTCCCGTATAGCAACGGCGCACGCACCTTCCAATCTTTGTCTTTTTCAAATAACAAATGTTTGCAATGAACCAAGCTCTATTCTCATTTGCGATATGAAGACTTTTCTTGAGACTTTTCACAGTCTGAGTGGTCCTACTAGTACTCAAGTCTCTTAATTGTCCCAACTTGTGCTTCTCCATAGATGGAGCACGCACTTCGTCCTACTATTCACCAGTCGTCTCCTCTGGACACCCTCGTTCGCCGAACATCTTCTCGCAGAGGCCCGTTGACTATAGTAACTCCCGTAACTCCAATCACTCCTCCAAGACCAGGAGACGCCACGGCGTCTGGATGGGCTCAAGACTCGCCCATCCTACATACACGTTTCCGGACCTCCACTACCACATCCCTTGCCTATTCGGACCATGGACGCTCTGGGAGCGATGCACACTCAACATTCTCGTGGGCGGCGAAGGATGACTCTTTTTCTGAAGATCAGCAGAGTCGCGGGCTGCATCCTCTCGTAGGTGCTCGTCCGGGTCAGAACACCAGAGGCGAAATACTGGTCGAGTCTGTTTACTCTCAAGTCAGCCACGACAGGTATGCCCCAACCGGATCGTATCGCGACTCGTCTGGCACGCCTAAGCAGCGCGAGCCACCATGGCAGCCGTCTGAGGAGGCTGTCCCTATTGTTGTTGTCTCTGACGAGCCGGACCAGCAGTCAATCTGCTCAGGATGGCCGGCCGCGCCCAGTCCTCCTTCGCAGAGCAACACTGGTCGGATGCCATCTCGTGTGGAAGGTGGCATCAACTTTTCGAGGCCTAATCTGCCACATGTGGACAGATCGGATGGACGCAAGCGCGAAGTCTTGCGACGAAATCAGCAGCGAACATCGCCCTCGCAGCCTGGCTCATCACATCAACCTGGGCGATCCCCCCTTGGTCAGTACGAGCAACATGCCGACTCGAGTCGGCCCTCCACGAGCATGAGCATGAACAGCCGTGATACACCATCCCCGCAACCTCCGTCGGTCAGATCAGTCAGTCCAAACGCGTTCCACAATCCCCGCTCTCAACCTCCCCACGCCGTCGAGAACAGTGCTGCTGACATGCAACTGTCAGTCTCGTCGTCAACATCGGCCCCTCCGCCGAGGCCACAGCGGCCGTCGCACCTAAGCCTGTATTCGGCTTACTCATATTATCCTCCGGATGCCGTCGGAGCTCTCCCTCCAAGTCCAAATGACCAAACTTCGCAGAAGTCACTATCCCCCAGCAGTCTCAGTCCAAACTATGTCCCCGGATCACGATCTCCTACAGCTACCTCAACGCCCCTTGCAACCGATGTCAACAATCCCCATACGCCGCAGGACTATTTGCAGCTTGGGATCCAGCACCACGAAGCGAACCGACTCGTGGAGTCGGCAGTGTGCTTCGAAAAAAGCGCGACGCTGCAAGGCGGATGTCCTGTAGGGATGCTGATGTGGGGGCTGACACAGCGGCACGGCTGGGGTTGCGCGAAGAGTGAACAGGCCGGATTCCGTTGGCTGAGACGCGCTGCAGAAGTTGCTGTAGAGGACCTAGAGGGCTCGAGGCAAGGTATGGATGCCGGTGCTGTGAAGGTCAGTAATGCTGCGTAAGGATGTCTTGAAAGAGATGTGCTGATGTCCCCGTGTGTAGACGGAATTGGTACTGGCAATTTATGAGGTCGGCCAGAGTTTCTTACGAGGATGGGGTGTGGAGAAAGACAAGGCGATGGGAGTTGTAAGTGTGCTACCTGAAGTCTGCGTCTCGTGTTTTCACCATGTTTTCCGCCCAATCCGCAGAGCTACTTCAGAGTGGCTGCTCGTCTTGGCGACCCAGATGCCCAGCAAGAGCTCGCCTTCTGTCTTGCCAACGGGAAGGGATGCAAGAAGGATAAGAAGGAAGCAGCCAAGTGGTATCGTGCCGCGGTGAGTGCTTCTAGATGATCCTGAGATGGTGTCAATCTGAACCCATTCTTTCCCAGGTCGCCCAAGGCGTGAGTGACGTTGGACTTGCATGGATATACAAGGAAAAATACCAATGAGCCCAACCCGAGCGTTAATTAATTATCGTCGTCTTGTCCCAGTGCTGAGCTTGTTTGTCTGCGAGAAGCTACCGTTGGGGCTGCTCGGTTATCTCGATACCTATCTTATGCTGTATTATCATTCTTCATGTAGGTGCACTTGGAGCCAATGTTTCTGCAACACAGGTGCTTCTAATTCCAAGACTCGCCGCGTGGGCTGTCGGGTGTATTAAGTGCCACCACGGAGGGTTCCTGTGCACATGCTTAAATAGGGAATCGGGTTTCCATCTCTGGATGATCTGCCCCTGGGGTCTTGCCGCTGCGTCTGCACACGCTCCTCCGTCCGTCCTGATCCCTCTGTTCCGGGTAAGTCACTGAAGCTAATTGTCGGACGAGGTCCACTCAGACTCGTCGGGACCTTTGTGCTTCAGCTGACTAGAGGCGGCGACAGTGAGGCTACAGACTTGCAGTGCCAGATAATTCATCTCCGCACGGGCCACGGCTCTCCAAAAACCGGGGTGCGTCTGAAGTTGCCCACGAGACTCACTCCACTTGCCGGGCTGCCAACAAAGATCATTGTCTCTGGCAAGTCTCTGGGTCTGGTTTTAGACCCCTTAGGCTTTAGCCCCTCGGGCCATGTCTTTATGGACAAGACCAACCTGCGAGCCTGGGTCCGAGTCGGGAGCATTTCTCTAAAGTGTGACCACCCCAATAGTACTGATCTAGATGTTACGCGCTCACATCTGCTCTTCATTAGATTCTAGACCCCCATTAGAACGGCGATTGAAGGCAGTCCGACGTGCCGAGTCCGCTGTACAATGAACTGGTACCGTTCAACTTGGAGTCTTTCTCTTCAGACCAATCACTGACACTGTACGACCGTTACAATGGAGGAACAACAGGTATGTCTGTGCATGTTATCCTTATCCCTTCGTAGCCGCTCAGTGCAACCAGTCCGGCTGGGAGCATTCCCTCAACGCACCCATGACACTATCCCAGCTTGACTACGATGTGCTGTCCGTTATCGTATCTCACCTACGCATCCGGGATGCTTTCAATCTGGCGCTCGCCGCACGCGAATTTCAAGATGTCGCCTTGCGTAAGGCCCTGGCGGTCGTGTCCATACGAAGCAACGATCACCTGGCACAAGTCCGCGCGTACATGCTTGCAGACGTTCACGGTCGCTTGCAGCACATGCGCGAGCTGACCGTGCACCTCACGATCTTCCTGCAAGGTGGTAACTACGTTAATCGCGACGATCCGTACGGTGCTAGGACACCAGCCGGGCATTTGGCAGACCTCTTGGGGCAGGCCCACAATCTGAGACGAGTCTCCCTGTCTCCCGTGGATATCCTGGTGCAGTCCGAGCCGCGTGTGGGGAGTGCACTTACTGCGCTTCCGCTGCTCACGACCATCGACCTAAAATGCTTAGGACCCAATTCGGTCGATCTGCTCGGACAAATGCAGAACAACCCGATCACTGTCCAGCTGGGGTGTAACTCCACACATTTTCTCCCCCTTATCTACAGGATGTCTGCTATGCAGTCGCTGCGCACTATGCAGCTAGAGCTGTCCATGGGGTACATGGGGCAGGGCACATTCCCTGCATCTGCAGATCACCGTCCCCAGTGGCCCACAGTGCATACACTGATACTGTCGTCCTGCGACGCATCAATGACCGAATGCGTGCGCGCATTCCCTGGGCTGCGCGTATTGCGCCTGCTGGGCTTCGACCGGCATCCGGAAGTTCGCCCCACGATATGCTGGCCGAGCCTCGATTTCGTCGAAGCCGACGTGCAATACTTCCTGCATTGGCACATCTCCTGCCCAGTTCACCACTTGTCCCTCCATCCTGTCCTCGCGAAACCCAGGATACAAGTACAATGGAGCTATACGGAAGACGGGGGAAAGTTCCTCCCGACTGCGCTGAATGTGATAAAGAACACATCACCTGTAGTGCTCACTCTCAGCATCATGCCATACCCCCGCTTGGCGGACATGTTCTGGACCACCTTGGTCAAATTCACACCACGCCTGCGCTGCCTGGAAGTCGAGCTCTGCGAGTTTCGGGACGCGGTAGATCTGTACAGCAATCTTCTGCTGTGGATGGTGTGTTGCAGTGTCTTGTGTGCACCAGGATGACCTTTTGACAGACGTCTACACACGCAGAACACCACGCTTCCCATAATGGGGAACTGCACCGAGTTATTGCAGATTGACATCCGTATCAATCCCACCATGGCTCGGTACGTCAACGATGCGGGCCGCTACCTAGGCCCAACCACTGCGCTAGAATCCTCCTTCGAAGTCGCGCAGGAGTACGCCCAGCTGGTCGTGAAGCATATACCCTCTATCCACCTATTGTCCATCGGCTTCGCCGCGAGGGTTATCATCAATGGGCCTAACAGGACTTCGTTTCCGCCCTGCCCATGGTGGTGGCGGGTCGAATTCACTTCGGATGGTCGCGTTCCACAGCCTATTGAGCCTGACCTGGCGGGGCAGATCCGATCCGATCTTGCTATAGACATCCGGGATTAATATGACGCATCATTCGGACGAGCTCCGGTCAGGTTTGCTTGAGGGCACTGCGTAAGTACGTACGTTGTGCCAACAGATTGATATCACGAAAGACACCGATCTTGAACAGTTGTATATATGGAATCTATATCGCGCATTGTACAATATCCCCTGAATGTAATTTCACCGTCTCTTCCTCGGAGCGGCAGACATGTCATTGGCCGTACCAAAGTCTGCGACTAGTCATTGTTATACGCGTTTTCATGCAGGCACCTTTGACTGTCCCCGGTAGGGGCGTATAAATAGAGGCCATAGCACGGCAGCGACCGATCGACAAGAACGGTTACACCGCTCAGTAGGTAGCCCATCACATTTACGGAAGGACGTAAGCCTGAGACACATGTTGTCTCAAACCTTTCCTCGACTCACGCATTTGACATAAAGCAAAAGGCAGCTCGTTTATGGCGATCCGGGTGAACGATTTGTGAGATTGAACAGTTTGGACTTGACGTCACTACAACTATCCCAGGTTCGTAGTATGCTCTAGCTGTTATCAAAGCGTCATGATTCAATGGTAGCACAAATGCCGTAGAGGTGCGTATAGTGCCGCATGTGATAAAATATACCTCGACAATAGAAGGAGTTGACGACGGCCAGATGCACCCATTGATCAAGCTGACATACTTTCTGTAAACACTGGGTTCAGTACGCATACGCGCAACGATAGCCAACATCAGATCCGTAGGCCAGATGTAAAAGTTTGTCGACCCTGCATGAACATACGCGTGCCCCTGTCACAATACCCCAGACCCTCCAAGGTCATAACATACTCCAGGACTCACCCTTGGCTCGGACCGCATACATGAACGAAGCCAGTGTGTCCACCTCCTTCACTGCATGTTCGCGGAAATGCCTCTGCGCCACCGCGGCGAGCATCCCGTGCACGTCGTCGCCGTCCGCCAGAATCGGGACAACGGAGAGCTCCGAGCCTCGCTCGTCCTCGATTAGCCGCGCACTCCGCCGCCGGCCAGTCACATCTCTCCGTGGTCGGTTCGCGGGCGTAATAGATAAGGACGGGGCTGGGCTGGCAGTAGACGCGTGCCTGCGCCCGTGGCCGCGTGGTCGGAGGAGAGACGAAGGTGGTGGGGGATCATCTGCAATCAGCGGGGATGGGTCGACGTCGGGGACGAGGTCGAACTGGACAAGGTATTCGTGGAGCACTGAGAGGGGCAGCGTGGAGAAGTCGACCTAGGTACGGAGTAGTTGGGCAATGAGGAGGAACACGTTAGAGGAGCATTGGAAGACTTGACCCACAGACGGTGCCCAAGCCACTCACCAACGACGCCTCTCCGTCCGACCCCAAACGCTCCTTTCTCGCTGCATTTGGTCCAGAGGTCACAGAGATGCCTGCGTTACCACTGGTGCTTGCCGACACGCCAGCTGCCCCGTCCACCCTCTTCCTCTTCACCCGGGGCTCCCCCTCCGCTTTGTCGGCAGCGGCGCGCTTTGTTCCTGCAGCACTGGACGCGGGTGCGTGGTATGCTGCGTCGTCTGCTTGTGCATTTGCTTTCCTGCGCGAGCCTTGTGGACGGGAGCGCGATACGGTCGCGCTTGTGGGTGCTGCCGCTGCCGTTTGCTGCGTTGTAGGCGTCATCGTTGTCGGAGCCATACCAGAGTAGCGTTGTTGCGAATGAAGGTGTGCGCTTCTGGCTAGCCTTAGCGTCCCAGGATTTTGTCAGTGGCCCAGCAATGGCCAAACGGACCGCGGCCGCGTCCAGAGTTTGTTGCTAATGCCATATTGTGGAAGTGGGAATGGTTTCAAAGGAGAGAAAGGTAAATATGCAATCGGTGAAACTTACCTATTCCTTTTGTTTACTCAATAATTGCGTCAAAATCGAGGCTTTATATATTTACAACGTCATGCTTTTGATTCGCCACGGCTTTGAGCGAGCTCACTGCTCCATGCTTCCTTTGCTTCCTGATAATCATTTCCTTCTAGTGCACCGAAAAGACTTGCAGGACCATTTTATATCCACTACAACCACAAACACGCCGCATACAACTGCCTTGGCTTGACTCACATTGTCAAGTCGGGATCCTACTTGAATTCAGTAGCATCAGTCCCTAAGCGAATTCTGATCCCACATCCACATTCTGGCTCTCGGAAGCTTGTCAACTCATTTCCATACATCCGCTTTGAAGATGAGTCTGTAGCTCACATAACCTACAGAGTCATCCCAAGGACTACGTCTAATCGCATCTCTTGGCTTTTCAATTGCATACTCTTGCCGTGATAGACCCGTGGTTTCGCCGACGTTCAGCTGAGGATATCTCTCTGGATCTAGTCTGTCGTCTATTTGTTATCCTGCAGCGTTGCATTCTCTATCATCCCAGGCTCATCGGCGGATGTATCGGCAGTCACTGGGACGCTAAAACGCTGGCCGTGTATTGTGCGCAAAATACGTTCCCACTTGTGGTGCAGAATGTTCTTTTTTGAATCCGTTCTATTTAATTGAAGTGTTAGGGAGAGTCAGATTCTGAATATCATGCTTCATGGTGCGAAGAGAGTTGGATGGTTGGGTGGCTGAAGGACTGATGGGAGGGCCCTGGGATGAATCACTGGTTCAGCGTCTCGAACGATTCCGCCTTCAGGCTGATCTGAAGCTGACTCCATTATGGACTATGTCCCTGGGCGACATGGATGATCATGTCTAACCTAGAGACAACAAACCACACCAAGATTTTTTTTTAAAAATCAAAAATCAAAACAGACTACCAAATAATATCGCGGCGCGGAATCCGGACCTGCAGTGGGACTAACAATGACGAGGACAAGTGACGCTACATTCACCGAGCCACTGTGTCGCGAAATGCCCGTTCAGGCATCGACTCGACTCGATCACGCCACCGATCGAGGGCAGGCACACCGACGGTCTCCTCTTGTGCACTACACGCGCCGTCTCACTGAGTCCCGTTCTTGGTGATGGGAATGCTTTCTGGTCTCCGCGCTTGCCAGTGTCAGGTGTGGAGTGGCTTCTGCGCGCGAAAACTATGGCAATGCTCCAAGCCTCTGCCGGCGGACCGTCTGCGTCTCGTTATCGTCCGACGTGCACTTATCGTGTGCAGACATATATGCTGATAAGTCGGCTGCATACGCAGAGAGGTCGACTGCTCTTCGCTTGCGATTCTGGGATCTCTGTTGCTCCCTGCCACCATGAGTACCCGCAGTGCCATCGACGAGACCCTCA